AGGAAGTGCTAATTTTATAAGGTGCTTATTTTTTAAAATATCAACTTTTTTTGCCAGGACGGTCTCCAGATGCTACGTGAAAAGTTTCGTGCGAATCGGACAAAAGCACATAAATGGAGTACGAAAATGTAGTTTATGGACTTATGGAAAATTCTAGGCGGAAGTGGGCGTGGCCTATATGGGGAGATTCAGCTCCATTCACCGAACGCGTGGATATAATGTTTTTAAAACGATGCGGGAGTTGTTGGCCTAAACCTACTTTTCTTAATAATAGGCCACTTAGTGGCCAACTGAAAGCGACGCATAGAATATCTAAGTTTCACCAGGCCTGACCACTTTGCCAGATAAAATTTCACTTTCATATATGTTCCCCCCTGAACATAAATTCAAAAGAAAGCAAATTATCAGTCAAACTTTACCGCAAATAATAATAACTTTAGCAATTACAATAGGGACCTCCAGCGGTCGCTGGCTCAGTCCCTAAATATAAATTAATTTTGTTGTTATCTCTATAGGACCCATTTGACGCTGCAGGCTACTACCACCTGGCTCTTGCTGCAGCCATAGAACTGGGCAACAAGAGGTCTCAGCTGCAGCTGTGCACCCGCCTCGCCACCATCTACCACAACTTCCTAATAAACCGGGAGCTCTCTCTTTTCTTTTACCAAAAGGCAAGAGGATTTGCTGCAGAGCTGAATGTGAGGAGGATTAATATCTCCCCAGATCAGCTTTATAGCAGCACCTCACAGTACAAGAAGAATGGACAACAGTAAAGACAGTTTGTCAGGTCTTTGTTTCACAAAAATTTGCATATAGCTAAATGAATGTTCTTTTATGATACAGAAAAAATATGTTTCATGAGAAGCCTTGCATTAAGACTACAGCACAGATTCAACTGATCCCAAAGGAAAATCCATTTTTAAGACCCTACTTTGAAAAGATAATGAAGGTCAGGGTGCCCAGGATGTCCGTTCTAATCATCTATTGCGTTTTAAAACCTTTCTCTCAGTCCTCTGTTAGAGGTCCAGTGTGTAACAGTTAGGAGGATCGCTTTGCAGAAATGGAATGTAATATGGATTAATTGCTATGTTTCTACAGTAGCCCAGAACAAACAAACCAAACACTGGCTCTAGATAGGGACTTGGAATAGGAGGGTAAAGCAAGGGAGTTTCGATCTGCAGCTACACCCCTATATACCACTTCATGCTATACACTAGACCTTTATTCTGCAGGAAATAAACAGATAAATTAAATAAACCTAGCAAAAAAATCTTTAAGTATTTGTATGTGATGGTTTATAAACAATGGGTAGATGTGTAAGGTCTGTTGATTTCATCCTTGCATGTTTCCCAGTATGTACATATGTACAAAAATGAAGAAAACCTATTGCTTACCCATTACACTCAACTATTAAAAAAAAAAAGGTGCCTATTGTTAAAAGACATAAATGAACGGCAAGAAATGCAGATTTTAACTGATTACTCAGAGAGTAATAGCTTGTGGAGATTCATAAAGCAGTTTGACTTAAAAATATTGGCAAATGAAAATTCATGCAGTGTTCTAAATAAGCACTCCCACTGTACTGTATACTATCACAGCTGGTTATGCAAGGCATCAGGGATAGGACCCAAACACAGACAGATGAGGCAGCAGGATGATTTCAGAAGAAGAAAAGTTTACAAACATCTGATAGGTAGACAGGCAGGTAGGTAGTTACGGGTCCAGGTAACAATAAAAATAACAGACACTCGAACACGAACACAAAGCTAGAAAACAACAAAGAAACTAGGACAAACTGACCTAGGAGTGGGAATGGGGTTGCAGGGCTGACATGACAAGAAATTATAGGCAGGTGAGTAGATGGGTGGAGCAGTCAGGTGATGGGGAAAGGAGAGAATGTCCAGGGCGTCTGGTAGATGGATGGTAATGAAGGGACCAAGGGATTATACGGTCAGATGCTATAAGAGTTTTGGTAGTTCCCATTTTTTTTGTTATTGAGTTCAATGACTACAATGTCCCATTTCAAAACTCTGTGTGAACTGGTAACCAGTCTGAGGATGTCCCTGCTGACACTAAAGCACCGTGTTTTTTATGGAATCTGGAGAGATTGTGACTTTTTCAAGAACAACATACAAAATGGTTGAGGCATGGGTCAGTCCTGCCCTGATACTCAAGTTTGAACCAGGACGTATCTTGCAATCCAGGTGACCTTTACAACACTTTGTTTGCTAATTTTAATATCCACCTTCATTTTTATTAAATAAAATGTTACAATGTGTGGACATCTTTAAAGAAGTCAGAAGAATTGAAGAGGCTTACTTGTTATGCTACGTCCTGGAGGATTTTTAATAAATCTGGTTGCATGACGTCAAGGTCCATCCTGTCAGAATCAATCAAATGCTTGAATTGCACTTTTGTTAGATTTCCATAGAAAAAGAGCAATGTAAGCTAAGTAGGGTTAAAGAAATGCCATTTTAGAATAGGTTTATGTGGTTTCAAGCAGGAAATCTTTAAATACACCGCACAGTATTATGTTATGGTGAGAAACGACACACTGTCATATACTGTACAGTGGTCAGCTGCCACATACTGTATAATATGCATCTGTCAGCAAGCATAGAGACCACAAATACAAGGGTAGATTGAAGGCTATGAATGCCACAAACTTGTTATTTTCTGCTCTTTTGATTTATTGTTTATGTTATCAGCAGGCAAAATGGGGATGCTTCAATGTCACCAGTATGCAGAGACTGAACTCTAAAATGACGTAGTCTGTCAGAGATGGAGTTCATGTTGAGGGAAGAAACAGCTATAGAAGGAGGAGGTCTATAAAGCTATGTTAACAGGCATTCATGTTCAGTTTCTGTTGCTTGTGGATTTAATGAATAACCAGCTAAGGCTGCAATCAGCCTCAGAATCTATGTATAGTACACTTCAAATAGAGTAGGTCTGCCTTCCTGGCTGCCGTCGCCAAGTGCTTGCTCATGGTGGGAACTGTTGGGTCTCTGCACTCTAAAAACAAATGTCTTAGCTTAACAAAGAAAATTGTTTGAGAGAACAGTTTCCATCTATCATTTTGAGTTGTGACAACATAGAATAAAATTATGTAATGAACTATATTAAGTAAGGTGAATTAGCTTTTCCTCTACAATGAAAGGTATTTTTAATTACCACCTACTTAATAATTAGTAGCATATAAGTTTTTAAGTTGATTATACGTAAAATTAAGTTGTTCCAAATAGTTTCCCCACATTTTCTAAAAGGTATTTTCAGTGTCATGTACTTCATAACTATAATAATCGTTTTTAAGTTGACACACATTTTTAAATTTTATGTAAGAAATTAATTAAACAAAACTTTTTGGCAATGTTTGGCAGCTGTTTTTATTTAGAATTGCAGTTTAGCAGTGTTTGAACACACAATTAAATTGGCTGGCCTTAAATTGTCCTATACATGGCCACCAATCTTCTCAAGGTCCTGCAGTCTTTTGTACACATTGTACATTTTAGATTAATTTTACAAAAACTGTAACAAACAGCAGCAGACTGTCACTATCAATGTACATTTAAGTTCCAATAGCTCAGATTCCCATCAACAAAGCCCAACACCTTGAGATATCCTTTCCCTCCATGATGGTTCCCTTGACCATGATGCTTGCTGTCATATGGTCAGATTCTGGGATGGACCGGTCACCAAACCTCAAAGTGGGAACAGGATCTTTCCATCACTCCAAATGCAGATTTCTGGTCTCAAATATGCAAAAATAACTTCACTCACTGCAAAATCCCAAATTTACAACTCATTCAATTCAAGGTTAACCACAGAACATACAACGCGGGTGAGAGATTACATAAAATGGGTTTCACTACATCAGATCAATGCACTTATTGCACACAGCACACCACAGACAATTATATGCATGCTTTCTGGCACTGTACACCAATTAGACAATTCTGGATACAAGTCACAGATCACCTATCACATATATTAGACTGCCGCATTCCCCTATCCCCTCAACTCTGCATCTTAGGAGACATGTCATCAGTACAATTACATAATCATATTATAACTACACTGTTCACAGCTCTAGCTGTCACCAAGGAAACAATCCTCCGAAACTGGAAAACAAGAAATAAACTGAACATCACACACTGGAAGAATCTGTTAATAGATCAAATTTCAATGGAAAAAATGTCAGCATCAATTAATCACAGCATACCCCGTTTCAACAAAACTTGGTCCACATTTATTCAAAAATCCACCTCTACAAATGCCTGATGTCAATTCCACAGAACCTGGCAACACACCTCTTTTTCTGTTGTTATTAATATCATCACCATCACTGAAATATCCAAACATATATACAAGCACTTATAAATACAGAGTACACGCACACTTACACACATACTCACATACACATGTACAGCATATATACAAAATTCCCCCCCATTGGTTAGGCCACCTCCTTGTCTGTCCGTTTGTCTGTCCGTCTGTCTGTCTGTCTGTCCGTCTGTCTGTCTGTCTGTCTGTCTGTCTATCTGTTTGTCAGTATATATGTAAGGCCACACAATAAACCTCCTCCTACTTGTCTACCATCAGAGATCAATGTTAACAACACCTGGTGTATTACTATGTACATTTATTTTATTTTCTGTTTGATAATTTACCTTATTTCCTCCATATGTTGTTTGATTTGTTTTTTTGTTCTGTAAATAAAAATAAAGATATGTCCTCCAAAAGTGGGGGGGTGTCGGCGGGCCAAAAAAAAAAAAAGCCCTGGTGAACCTGGACTTGGGAATAAAATATTGGAAGTGAAAGTTAAAAAAAAATTATAATTTTAACTTGCAATCATGTATTTAATTAAGTGGTGATAAAAGGGCCACTGAGTTACTTTTTAGAGTGTGTAAATAATTCGTAGTACAGTCTAGACCTACTCTATTTGAAAAATGTCCTGAGATAACTTTTGTAATGAATTGGCGCTAAACAAATAAAATTTAATTGAATTGAGTTGAATTGAAAAAATTGAATTGACAGTTTTAGGAACTTTTTATACAATTCTCTGTCTGTATTATGTTTTTTATTCATCATACATAGTTATTAGGCTTCTTTTTTGAAAAATGTATTCTTCTCCCTGTTGCTTGGCCATTATTCTATTTGCAGATGTCAGAGTGTAAAGGCTCTGTGATAATAGCTTTGTTCAGGTCTTACGAGATTCCTCTTATGGCACAGCCAGATTAAACATGGTAAGGCCACCAGGCTCAGCTGATGCCTCCAATAATCTGATGCTGGAGGGAAGATCCATCATCTCTAGACTCCAAATACTTTACTGCTTGCAAGCAGAGGTGAGAAGTAACAAGGTAAAAATACTTTGTTACTGTACCTAAGTAGTTTTTTCAGATATCTGTTACAACAACTTTTTACTTTTAATCCCTACATTTTTAAACAGAAATCTGTATTTTCTTCTCCTTATATTTTCAAAACAGACTCATTACTTTAGTTTTAAATCTACAGTAGGTAACTTTTATTAAAATAACTTTTTTGTCATATTTGCTAAAACTTTCACTATATCCTGACAGTAGTACACGAGACAGATAATCTGTGAAAAAAAGAAAAAGAAAACTAGTCTCAGTCCCAAAGCGTCTGTAGTTGACACCCTGTAAATGAGACTCAGCATTGCAACTATCTTTCTCGGCTCTGATTGGTTGTTTTCATTGAGGCCTGGTGGATTCTTGCAAATGTCATTAGGAGCACTAAGAGGAGCCATCATTATTATTATCATTGCACACCTTCCAACATCAAGACTAGTGCATATCACGCATTACAGATGTAACATGATGAAAATGACAATAACAATCAAGTAAGGTATTGAGTATTTTTTTACTTTTATACTTTCAGTACATTTCAGAACCTGTACTCACAGGACCGCCAGCTGACCCACGCAGCTCACCCGCAACTCTTCTTCATCTCCTTTGGACTGTCGGTAACGTACTGGGCATAGACAGATAACTTAACAGAGTTAACGGCTAAATGACTAAAAAGGACTGTTTAATTACTGTTAATGTTACTGATACTGTTACTATAGCCTTTCAGATAGTGCTAAGGTGATGTTAGTTTAATGTTATGCTTTACACAGATCTTTGCATGCAACTAACTCCCCTTTAACCGTACCGTTAATCTAAGATCACACACACACATATTCGGCCTAAACCTCAGCACACACGAGGAGAGGGAACTCAAACCCTCCCACTCCTCCATACTCTTTGTCTCTCA